TCGCCTGTGTGCTGTCCGGCTAAATGGCTCCGTAAGAACTCGGAAGGATAGGGACACACGTCGTTGCCTTTTCGTCGTTTCTGCCTACGCTCCCACTGACTGCAGCCATGATGAAGTAAAAGATGACTTTTACAGAAAACTCTCTGAGCTTCTTCAGAAAGCTAAGCGCTCAGACATAGTAGTCGTAGCGGGTGACTTTAATGCCCAATTAGACAGCTTAAACCAAAGAGAAATACATTTAGGTGGGTATTTTAGTATTCCGGCTCAGCGAACAGATAATGGTGATTGTCTGTTGCAAGTGTGCTCAGACAATCGTTTATTTAGAGCAAACACTAAATTTAAGCATAAGGAGAGACATCGTCTAACATGGCGACCACCTGCACCAAACCAACGATGGACTCAAATAGACCATATTGCCATCAGTCATCGTTGTAGAGGCTCAATAGAAGATTGTCGCCAATAATGGAATACTTGTTTAGACTCTGAGCACGCTTTAATACGAACACGCATTTGTTTGCGCCTCACCGGACGCAGATGAACTGCACTAAGAAGACCCAATAGAATTGAACTGGAGGACGAGAAAGTCAAAAGTAGATTCCAGGAACAACTGAGTTCACATCTAGTCAGTTTTGTAAATGAAACTGACCCAGGTGTTGCTTGAAAAGATATGGGAATAGCTGTGGAAACAGCAGTAACATCTATTAGTGATTTAAACCAAAGGGTTACAAAAAACCAGTGGATTTCTTCTAAATCTGTTGCACTTATGGATTGTCGTAAACTCATCTCATCAGGCTGTGAACATGATGAAGAGCGAAAAGAAATCAGATGTACGCCAGTTGAACTGCCCTTCAAAGGATTCCGTCCATCGTCCAAGACGTCGACAGATGATCGTGATTGGCATTCTATCAACCTCACAGATTGTTTCACTCACACCAGACTTCTTGCTGCCAGTGGCTCGGGTGAGTTTTAAGAGCTTCTGGCAGTTACCAGATGCAGCTGCTGCTTCCATCTCATTAGCACGCTCCGACCACCAGGCTTCTGGGTCCTTACGCAAGCTTTGCCCGATTTCATTACGTAACAGCCTTCGTTTGTGGTCATACTCACGATGACCCGAAGTAGACCGACGGGATTCGATCAGTTTTAAGGAGCCAGAAGAAACCCAGTGTTTATAAGCGGGACGTTTCACGAAGCCTCAAGTGACTTTACTCGCCATTTTCATGGCGTCGTGAAGTTGCAGCCAATGTTCATCTATACTTTTCGGTGGGATGGTAGCTAGCCTAGGAGCTAGCTCGGTTCGATACTTACTTGCAAGAGAAGTTGCGGCCAGTTTACTAACATTAATCCGTTGGTGGTGGCCAATTCTTCGGCCACTGAAAAGTAAGGTAAGATTGGCGCAGACCAGGGCATGATCGGACTCCAGACAGGTACTCCAAAAGGAGCGGCAGTCTTGTACACAACACGCCAGCGGTAGCTGATCGCGATGTGATCAATCTGTGTCCAGGCTTGAGATGTAGAGGGAGGACGCCAGGTGACACACCGGCGATGACTGTGCCGGATGTTAGTGCTAGCCAGAAACAGGTTGTAGTCTATGCACAGTTGCAGCAAACGGTCCCCGTTAACTCTCATGCGACCAACAAGTCCCCATCGCTCACCTAAACGACTCTCTTCTGTGCCTAGACACCCGACCTGTGCATTCAAGTCTCCGGCTAATACTACAATATCTGTCGAACGCGCTTCCTGGAGAAGAACAGATAACTGGTGGTAGAACTCATGGTTGATTGCATCCGGGCTGCAATCTGTCGGGGCATAGGCGGAGATGACGAAAAGACACCTTTTCTCACGCCGGTTTCTTCTCACTTTGATGGAACTTTTTAATCTAACAGCACATAACCGACTGTTAATGGGGATTGAATGGATTAGTGCTGCCTGAGCTCTAGCGCTTAGTGTGACACCGACGCCAGGAAGACCAGACGAGGATGCCACAGGGTCCCCAGATAAGCGCACGTGAAACAAGCTTTTCGAGGTGACAGATGAAGAGCGAAATTGTAGTACTTCACTAGAGTCTTGAATACGGGTCTCGGATAGACAACAAACATCAACATTAAGACTTTCTAAAGACAAAGCCAGCCCCATCTGTTGTCTGATTTGCATTAGTGTGCGAACGGCGAAGGAAGCCAGCTTGAATGGCGTACGTGGTTTCAGAAAAACTGGTTCAGTATTCGTAATTGGTGGAAGCATTCACTTTCAACCAGACAGTGGCGAGCTGTTGCATAAGTTGAAGAGTGAGGATACATAAATTGGGAAGAAGAGGGAGTGAATAAGCGACATGGTAAATAATAATAATAATAACTAAATGATTGTATGAGAAAACGACCAGCGAGCTCATTTGAAATTGGGTGGTAAATGGTTACAATCTTTTATAGAGTTGAGATGATGAGTCAATTGAAGCTAGACCACCGTGGAAAACCTGGAAGCACTGGACGGCCGTTTCGTCCTCTTATGGGACTCCTCAGCAGTGCTCATCCACGACCCCGCACTCGCGAGATTTAAACCCAGGACCTACCAGCCTCGAGGTCTTTCATACATTCGGTGAACAGTGAAATGTGTTTATCCAGAATATCGGGTAAAGATGAGTTTATCCGTCACAATGATTGATATGAGACGATATAGAGAAGGTGATGTGGATTATATCATCAGGATGATTGACCACAGCCTCATTCATAGACCAATATACACATGACACTATAACTAGTTTAGTCTGAAAGAATGGAGATTATCACTGAGCGTTGCATATATTGATAAAGTAAGTATGTGAAAACTAGATGATTGTGTGAGAAAACGACCAGCAATTTCATTTGAAATTGAATGGTAAATGGTTAAAGTGTTTATTCATAATTGGAGCAAGGCCTTCTGTGAATAGACAGCCAAAAGATTTGTTTCACTTCATTTTCTGTTTATAAAAGTAGTAATGTTTTGTGAAATGAGAATTTCACTGATGTTTGTTTCGGCATATACGTTTCAGTGTGTGTAGGTGATTGTTAGTCACATAAACAACAACTTATTATTAGAAAGCGGTATGTTTTATTCTAAACAAGATTCATAATACACTGACTATGGAGTATAGATACAATAGAATACCATATTATTTGAATAATGAGATAGAATGAGGTGATAGACAACAACAAAGTACAATCATTGATATTTCTGTAAACAATTGAGGTCAACAGAAATATGTTTGTGTAATTAAACACTCCTATAATTAATACTGATAAGAAAAGATAATGAATTCTACTTTGAGAATTTTATAGGATGTAGCAGAAATGTCAGAAGTTGGTGTTCTGTTATATTGAATGGGTTAAATGGAAGAGAATTGTCAATTTTTGAAATCCTATTCGTGATTGCATATGACTTGTGGGTTGGTGTTGTTTGCATGAACTAATAATCATTCAGTACTTGTATTTGGTGACTGTGTGATTCGGAATGGCAAATAGAATATGCTCGTCTGTGCTCACCTCGTTGTGTGTAAGTCTAGATCGCGTTATTTCGAGAATTCCTAGTTAGAATAATAATTCAACAACCTGTAATTTATCACATGAGCATTGGATCATTTTGGGAATTAGAGGAAGTCGACTGAATGTGATAGGTGTTTATAATAATGGTTTATAATAATTCGATAACAGGTCACATTTGAGTGGTACAATTGAAGACAATTCTGTTGTTGATGTATACGCGAAATTATGTAACAACCATTCATTCGATTGCAGACTGTGATAGTCGAGGAAACAATATTTTGGTTATTGTCAACATGTTTATTCAATTGCACAATCGACCTTCACAGTAACAAGAATTACTTTTTGCAAATATAAACAGAACATAAATAGTCTTAACTAGTTCCGTAGATATTATCATTTACTTACGAAAGTATAGACTGTTATTCATCTATCCATCCATCAATAAATGACTCATTATATTTAGTATGGACTAAATATACCTTGGACATTCTGTTATCATAATAATTTACTTATATGGTTAAATACAGATGACAATCAAAACAAGCTCAATTGGTAGGTGAAAATCATCCATTGAAATAGTGAAGTGTAAATCTCAGTCTTCTTCTTCTTGTCTGTTAACACTTTTATTAACTTTGAGTTTCAGTGATCTCTGTGGTCATTACAAATCTCTGTGTGTAAATCGAGAAACCTATTCAATTTTTAACATTTCACTATCAATGAAATGCATTATCTTTCTTTTATTTCAATCATTGATCACATAAATCTACACAACTGAACACATTCAGTTCCATTTCTACGTGATCAATTATGATCTTAACATCTATTAACAGCCAGTGGTACAGTATTGCGGGTCAACTAGAATTCATGGGGCTTTCATTAGAAGTTGCAATTCTACATTCAACGATGATGGAATCGTCTAGCAGAACTAACTTTATTGCCATCAAATTCAAGCGTGAAGATGTGAATGTTTACACATCCAATGAAAACAGTTTGTGCTACTTAGATTATAACTAAACAAATCAAAACAATACACCACTGACAATCAATTCGTAGATTATTACAAGCAACAAAATGTTTGTTCATGGAAACGTGACCACAAATAAACTAATCACTTAGTTTGCAGTATCAATAGGGAGGGGTCAGTAATTTCAACCAACGATGGATAAATATCAGCCTACATACCTCAATATCTAGAAGGATATTACATAACGCTGGGCTCATCTTCCACGATGATTCGTTAACAATGATCTTATGATTTGATGAATTTCGATCTTCTTAATGGTCACTTTAAATCATCCAATCAGAAAGAAACAAGCAAACACTCAGAAAGTTTATATAAACTCGACGAGTTCTAACAGCAACTATTAACCTTTTTCAACAAGATGATGAGGTGAGTGTTGACTGTACAGTTAAGGTTATTGAATGCATTATATGAATTTTAATTTGTTTCAATGAAATAAGGCCATTTTATCATCTGAACCACTTTAGATATACATGTTCGTCTGGTCAGCGGACACTGGTCTATTTGGTTGTCAGCTTGACTCTTAAGTTGTTCAATTGTCAACATACTTGTGAGGAAATTCATTCGCTTAACAAAGAAAAAGTAGTATTTGAAGATGATTCACGTGCATATGTAAGTTACCAGTCAGGTTCCAACATACACATTCAGTCTCAGTATTATCATTATTCCCAGATCGTTCGTGTTAATCAGAGGTCTCCAACTGTGGATTGCAAGTTTCAGAAATTTAATACTTCTCAGGTGTGTCAACTAAATTTTGCAATGGAGATACTAATCGATATGTTTGCATATTTTCAGCTAATTACTGCCAAATTCACGTTTCAAGTTTACGGCTCTGATGTTACTATATTCGACATTGACCAATATAGTAAGAGAATCATTTACTTTGAACTCAAATATTTACTGAGTTTTGTTTATTCCCATTTCATTCCACGAATGAAAGTTGCTTTAATTTCTTCAGAAAATCACTTTCATGCTGTTGTGTAACATTCAAAACTTCTACTGATATCTTATTTTGTTGAAGTTGTGAATAGTTTTGAGGCCTTACAGCAAACGTGTTGCGGTTTATGCATTTCATTTTAGTCTCCAGTTAATTTCAAAGCTTTTCATTAATTCACTGCAGATTATCAATCAAATTGCATGTTTTCATTCGATAAACGCAGGTATAACATTCATGAACGGATCAAAGTTCTTAGGATCAATTAGCTGTGAATCAGTTCTCTTTAGTTCTCTTGACTATGAAATTTTGAATGAGGGTAAGTTCTTCTATTATTCAATGATATTTTGTTTTGTTTTTTAATTCTGATTTTTATTTTGCATAAATGATTCAGTACTGAGATTGATTATTCTGTGAGAGCTGGCCAGTATATAGTGATCATTTTGTTTGTGTGATTTCATGAACTAAATTGTGTTCACAATGCGTATTGATTACTGTCAAATCAAAATGTGAAATAAAACACCGATTCACTTTAAAATGGATGCAAATTGATTGAGTAGAATTGATTAGTCTGTTGATGTAATTGCCAAAGTGGAAATTCCTAACCCTTCAGTCTATTTAAACTACTATAAAACAGATTTCTCATCAATATGACACTGCTTGGTAGATTCAATGAATCAAACTGATCACAGCTACAACAATAAACGATGTTGTGCGAGAAATCAGTTTGGATTATTGAAGCATATGAACTTTCAGATTGTATTTGATATCCTCCATTTTTTTCTGTCACTTGCTTAGTTCTTTAAAGTTTAATGTCTCTAAGTGATTGTCAGTAGACTGTTGGATATTCAACGATTTCATGATTATCATACTCATTTGATCATGCAATTCGAACTCATGCTCTTCTTGAAACATCGAATCAACGAACGACCATGAATAGTCTGTTGGTACATCATGATTGATTCCAACCAGAACACCTAGAATATCAAAATGAAGTTCATTGATTTTGTTCAGTAATTGGAATTAATGACACTTGAGTAGCATTTCTGTGTAAAAATTAGTTCAGTTGAGGGAACACAGTTTGATTGGAATAACAGAATCTCATGGAAATCACTTTATGTGTGTATGTTTGGATTGACATTAACGGACTCCTAATTAACTAAAAGCTTAAGAAGTAAAATATTCTTCTCAGTTGATTGAATTGAAACATTCATTATATCGTTGAAATAATAATAATAAAGGCTCTTGAAAGTTCCATTTAATTGGACCGGTTCACCTGAAACTGGGAAGGAAGATGATAACTCGTGTTCAAACTCATTTTGTGTTGAAATGTATGTTTATTGGAAGAAGCGGATATTCATCATAAACATATACAAACACAATTTTCTTTTAACTTTCATTATTTCAGAGAACTTATTGGCTGTCAGATGGTCTTTCCAAATATCAGGTGATAGTTTAAGTAAGCGAACTATAAAATGATTGATTGATCACATGTGAGATATGAACACTTACACCATCATTCATTGTAATTGCTCACATTTTCTTCTGTTCAGTTTGCGTAATTGGATTCTATTCAAAAACCGACAGAAGTAATAAAGCGTAATCATCCTGTAAGATAAAGGGGAAACTAAATGTAGAATGTGCCGATCGTTTGAACACCGTGTTTGAAACTCAAAGAACAGTCGATATAAGCAGATAAACGAATGCAGAGATACATTTTCATCAAGAGACTTCAGTGGAACTTGATAAGAAGTCTGTATGCCAAAGAAAGTAAACTTGTGTTACTCACTACATGGTCATTCTTAAATGTTATCCATTGGAATTATGAAACCACTAAAATGAATAATGTGCAGCTATTGGTTTTTTCATCCTTAACAAACGGTGATATACCAATGTGTTGCCTAAGCAATTAAGTTATCAAGTTCATTTTGTAAACGAAATCTCCACAGCTCATGTCATGCTTATTAATAGTTGATTGTTTCAACGGTAGTTGTAGAGAATATTGCGTCAATGTGAATACATATTCAACTGTCAGATCTAATTAGAAGCTTAGTGATTTATTGTTTCAACATGAAGACGAGGATGTAATAAAGCGTCGGAAACTAAGCATCTGATATTCATTTCGGAGGATGCATGCTTGTTTCATTTACACAACATTCACTAGATTATATTTAATAAGGAATTCGATTGAAGAAAACATTTGAGATAATACGGTAAATATCTGCTTAAACATGATCACTCTGTCAGTAGGCACGTACAATGTCACATTTAACAATAACGTGATCATCATAAATTCCTCAAATTGTAAATTTCGATAATCTTTTGTTTACAGACGGTACATTCAAGATAACTCATCTGATACTTCCGAATGGGAAGATATCTGTGTATTATGATAATGTAAGTAGCACAATTGAATGGCAACATAGTTTTATTTCAAGTACTTCAGATTATTCTACTAATTCGTTCATATTGATACTGTTGAATACAACAAGATATGATTGGAAGAAATCACCATTTTGTAATGTACACACTGACTATATGACACTATTGTTATTACCTTACTGACACACTTTATTTTCGGTTTTGTTTAAATTACTGAGTAATAAGAAGTGATGTGATATCTGAGGAAATACTTATGTCTTTGCACCAATTTAAGACAAACAGTGTATGTTAGAGTACTGTACGGGGATAGTCATATTCTGTGAAGCTTTTCTACGTCTTTCGAAGATCAGCTGTTTGAAAAGTTCACAGTTGAATATTGTGAGTGACTTATTGCTAATGTCTTGATCGTTTCACTGCGTGCAGCTATTTCAATGTGAACAGTAAGTAACCCACCCATTTGCAATAGAACAGATGATGGATAACTAGAATCGATTTTGCTTATTACAAGGTAGTGAGGACATATTGTGAAAATAATTCTCAAGGGAAATGAACAGTAATGGATGGAAGTGAACACATCGACACAATTCCACCAAATGATAACAAGTTGATGTGCAGTAACATTTTTCAGTTATTCCTAATCACATTTCTACCAACGGACGTGGATATTCATCTCACAATGTATCGCGTCATTCCATGATAGATATATCATTCATCTAATTTCACTGAATTTGACAAGTGGAGGGAGTCAGAATATTTTTGTGGACTAGATGGAGCATAAGAGACTGATCAATTGCAGTCCCAAAAATCAATGGAAAGATTCTAACGAACAATACCGAATGAATGCAGATGGAGCATAGTTCTAAGGGAATTCAGGAGATCAGTATGCTTGCTGTAAGTGTGACTAGTTGTCTTTGTATAAGATAATGCGATTGATGACACATCGCTTCAACGGTAATTTGGTTTTGATATAGGTGGTTGTGTGTTGACAGACCTTGACTCAGAATTCCATTACTTCTTTTCAGGTACCTGGGGAAGGCAAAGGTGAATTCCAATCGCTATTAACCGGTTCATTAGCGTGTGAAGGAGGTAACGATTGTTATTTTTAATCTGATTTACACTGACCTACATGAACAATCATCTGTTTGTCAAATGTTTCCTTCTATTTGTACCTGATTATCATTATGTCAACACACAAATTGACTGTAATCTATCATAGTGATCTAATATATCTTTCTTACAGTCTATATCAATCAGTCGTTTCGTGTGTCAAATAAATTGGTCAAAGTGTCATTGAAATGTTGAAGAAAATTGTTTGAAATAAAATCAGAATACTTTTTGAAAACTCACTGGTCAAACGTGACTGTTTATTGAAAATTCAACTTGAGTTAGGAGTTTACACATCTTGAATCAAAACTGTAGTATCACTTGTGATAGAGTCATAGTGAGAACCCATTGTGAAGAAGCCTTGTGTTTGTGATTCAGCCATTCGATCTGTTGAACACTGAAATTATCTGAATTGAAATCAAGTATCTGTGTCTTCATTTAAACGACCGTCGTGCTTGTTGTTGTGATGAAATCGTAATGGTATTGGTACGGTTTTCTGTGCGAAATTCCATCAACAATGAATTTCATGATCCACGTCTTTCTAACCTGATATACTGTGTAATATAACTATAGTGTGCATATATCTTCTTCAAGAAAGTGCGAATGGATATTTGGAAATGTCTTTTGCATATGTTTAACCAATGAGTGATCCAGACAGGGATATATGAACGAGGAAACTAGGCTGACAACATATCTACTCATTTATTGATTCACTCACCATTCTATCAGTCAAGCCTGCAGTCCTCACTGATATCACTACTCTATGCCAAAGAAAGTTTATTTTGTCAAACAGATCTGATAGTTGTCTTAAACAATGCTCAATCGTCATACTACACTGACATGATTGTATGTTGTTGTAAGATGAAGCTGAGTTTCAAGACAAACATTTAGTGTAAATGAATAGGTTGGATGCCGTGTTTTGTGATTGAATATGATCAAATGCATCATCTATTTGATCAGGAGGTATATGATGATCGGTTTAAATGTATTGCTGAGACTTTTCACAGTAATGCTCAATGTTAACCATTTGTGAAATAATGTGTGACCGGTGAAACAGATTTTTCAGGAGGATTCGCACTGACATCCTTATAAAGTAAATCAGAAATTGAACGATGTCATTTTTCATTTACTGGTTGAACATTGTTTAATTTCGGAAGCAGAAGGTGATGTAAAGCATAGTTCGTGAGGATGTTGTTTGACCGTCACTGTATCTGTGATCAGAAATTAAACAGTTTCTTATTTTGTTCGCTCCTTAATCGAGCAAACAGCTTGTTATACTGAAAATGGAAATCGATATTTTATGTGTCTTCTTCTGTACATTTCATTACATAAGGTAAGAAAGACGTTGACATATTTGTTGATACAAAATGGGTCAAAAGTGGAACATTAGTGGAGTTTAAAGTTTCCGGTGGTATGTTTAACCATATTTTATCAGAGTTGACTATTCTCACACTTGAATGCATCACTTGTGTTTCATATAGTTGATATCTAACCATCAGTTTCAACTGACGTTTCACTATACTTCGATTTGCTGTTGAGTATTTAAAAAACAATTAAGGAAACATTTTAAACTGCCAAAGTAGTCCTCACTTCGATGAAATTTACTTAAACACAATCTCATGAAACGATAGATGATATGATTATATGAGTTAGTTAGTTGATTATGCATTGACTTGGAAGTGTCCATTGTTTTTTCATTTGGTACATGCAATATCAAATTTTTCCGAGGTATTGAAATCTCAGAAACACTTCATGAAATTGTAATTACCTTGAAGACAATTGCATCTACCTTATCCTACTGATCCGATAAATTGAAGGTATAGACAAGTCACATGTCCAGATTTCCATTTATCATAGTCAGTAGATATTTGTTTAGTATCAAAAATACTGACGATTTTCATAGTACGACAATGTTTCCTTTTTCATGAATATGTACATTGAGTAACCACATGCACTTTTCAGGTGATCATGTGTTAGACTACTGAAATAACATTTCAACAATTGAGAGAATCATTCCATAATCTAATGTTCAGATTGACTTCAATATATTGACAGGATAAAATATTCTTTACTATCGAAGAGATTTCATGATCCAACTGGTCAAAACTCGTCGTTCAAACATTCAACGTAGTTTTATTCAATCACAACATATTGCCGTGAAATGTGAGTGATAATGGAAGTGTAGTGAATTTCTCATTGTGTAATGTGATGACAAATTCCCAGTGAATGAAATAGTCATTCAAATCCGAAATCACCATTGTATCATTGAGTTATGGTTATATATTTTGTTATTCACTTATCTTTTGTTTGATAACTTGAAATACAATCACCGTGTTCCTTTCATTGAAGATTGTCCAAAACACAATACGACTAAAACATGTGAAGACTCCAAAACACCGAATAGAAAGTGCATGTGGTATGAAGATGCCAGTATGTGCATTGTCAGCACTGATAAGGATATTGATTACTTCAAAGTAAGTAGTTGCCAGATTGAAATAAGTAATTGGTAGACATAACAGGTTGTTTTTAATATTACCACAATCCACATTGTAAATCTATTTATTAGGGAGAGCATTTTATTGCTAAGAATAAGTAGTGATTTGTATAGTTCCCTTAGTGCATAAATCAATGCATTGTATAGTTTGACGATATTTAATGAGACATGAGTACAATGCTTTGTTTCCATGTGGACATTCAACAATGAATGAAAGCGTTGTTTAACACCACTAATGCCTGGAAACATGTTAATTTTCAAGCTCATAGAATGTGTAGTGATTCCCAATGTCGAATATGAAGCCGCCTATCTGTGTGACTTGTTACAAAATATCAATGAAATCAGTTTGACTGAGGAAGTGAAATGTGTCGGAAATTCTTTATTGTGTTTGGATAATGAGTAAAAGCTCGTAGACTCCCGATGTTGATGTTCAAAACAAGTATTTCTGATTCCTTGTTAAGAAATATGTATCCTGTATGGATTGTTTCAACGAAGCCGTCATTTATGTTATTACTTATATCGCGGCAGGCTTTTGCGTGTTCCAGTTGCATTTGGTACCGTAATCCACAATTATAGGCAATTAATAATTCCGATAGGGTTGTGATGATTCAAGAGATATGTCTAGATGTAGTTTATAATGGAAATATGGTGATAGTCTATAAATGTAGAT